TTAGATGTTCATTTTAATAGATGGTCATGATAGTGTTGATGTTGATAATGGTAGCAGCAATGAAACTACAACAATCGCAGCTCAATCATAGATATTTTTACATTTTTGCGAGTTTATAGTGTGTAGAACAAAACATACATACGAAGAAAAAATGGTTTGGACGTGTTATTACTCATTAATAATGTTTTTGATAAAATCAATAGAATTTGTCTGCATACCAAAAAAGTCAGAGGCTTATGCTCTGCAACTAGCTTATAGGTGAGATACATATTGAACAGGAGGTTTTTGTGGATTATATGGGGGCCCAGAAAATTGCAACCCTCCCTCTAGCATGCGCCCAAAATTTTTTGGCCCTCCCTAATGGAGGGCCCAAAAAATCGCACCCCTCCCCATAAATTTACCGGCCCTCCCCCCCCCCAATAACTAATGACCGCTCCCTTGGGGATATTAAGCATATTGCAAAATAAAGGAAATTAATTCAAATGTGATGTTGCCCATAATACAGCTTGGACTGACTGATGTTAGATGGCAGAACTACAATAAAATCCCTTTGCTCTCGGGAATTGAATTACTTTCTCATGTAAAACGATCGTATTGTTCCTGCCATTAATACATGGATACCGTCACGTGGTGCTGCAAAACCTCTGTAATGCACCATGACCTTGCAAAACTGGTCAATGTAGAAATAAACAAATATATGAAATATCTAAAATGATTTACCTAGACATCACACCTAAAATCAAAATATGGCCAACAATCTGAATAACTATCGTTCTGGACTGACTAGCCTTGTGTTCACGTGAAATCACAAAAGCGTTTATATATTGAGAGGTTTATAGTCAGCAGAACCATAGTTATTTAAATTGATCGCCATGTTTCCATTCGGTTTATATACTAAGACAAAGTGTATGACAATTAACTTGTCTAGAATAACCAGCAATATTGCTTTTGTCAAGTGTAGTGCCCGGCCGTGTTAGTGCCCTTGCAGTCTCGTGATCAAACGCTAATAAGTTGCGTAACTATAGTACTATAGCTATAGAGAAATGGAAAGCTAATATTTGGCAGATAATGAAGGGTAAATTTAGCCCTCTTTTGACACATGAAAAGTGACAGAAAAGTGACACCGTTATATATAAGTAAAAGAAACAAAGGCATCGTAAATTATGAAGTATTTAGGATAAAACAGTTCAACTTCCTTCCGGTTTTTTACGAACCAGTGAAAGAAATGCAAACAACTCACCATATTCGACGCCAGCCAAAAAGAAAAACAAACCAATAGAAATTTTGGTCAATAGTTTCTTTCTTTTTAACTGCATAATGGAATCTTTTTATGAGTTCAAAAATAAGTAATATTTTTAGAACGGAATGAATGATCGAAGTACGTCCATGGTAATAACCGCTGTTTTATTTTGACGTTTCTGACTTTACTTGCATAATCAGCCGATTGCCTGGGTTTATGATTGGACAAGAAGACAAAGGTATTCCTAATAAGGCAGGAGTTTGCTATCCCATGAATAGTCTTGGGTGGAGGATTCTGGGCGAAAACACGTGCAATTTTTGTAATGTTATTCGTCGTTTCCATCTTGTATCTATGCAAAGTTTAGCACTTTATCGGGAATTTATCCCTCTGTGCAAAATATCTATGCCTAAACTAAATATCTATGAAGACATAGTGAAGTTTTGAGTTGAATTCAAGCGAGGATTGATCGTGGAAACCTGTCTTTAACGACCACGTGTGGAGCTGACGAAGATGGCTGAGAACGATACCTCGATGCGAGCGAACGGGCCTTCGATTAGTGGCGTGTCTGCTGTAAAACCTTTTGTATCGTCCTTAATAAGCAAGAAGAGAGGAAAATCTAGGAGGAAAAATCTTTCTGCGAGCTCAAAAGCTGCTTGTTTACCACCGGACTTGGATATAGTAAGTGGTTTTGCTTTTCTATCATTCTCGAGTATTGAGGAGCTTGAATGTCACATCGAAGACCATGAAGTAAATACTCGTAGCTTGAGCATAAATGTTGGGGGGAAACGTAAAAAATCGACCCCTAGACAGCAAAAAAATCTCATTTATACTGCTAATGATAGTGACTTTGTGCATTCTAAAAGAATCAGAACACCCTCACAAAAAGTACTAGAAAGTTATGCTACTGCAAACTTAAATCTTTATAAAGTGAAGTCTAATGTTTCTCGTGAGCTGAAGCAGACGAAGATCAGACCATTTCCAGGAATGAAGGCTACCAGTACCAATTCATCGATAGTAGATTCCAATTTTTTTCCAAATTCTAGTGATTTGAAGGAAAGAGATGAATACTTTACACCCCCTAAAGTTGATTTAACTGCTGAAGAAAGTAATGCTTCTGAAATATCTCTTGAATGCTCAGGAAGAATTGGTTTATTCGAACCAAAACAGGAAGTATATCCTTCAAGTGTATCAGTTATTGAATCGGTATGCTCAACTGCTATCGGAACAGAAGTCCCAGAGAAAAGGAAAAAGAAAAAAAGAAAACGAGATAAAAGCATCCATGACCAAACATGTCAGACAATGTTTAGGATTAAGAAGAAAAAGAAAGATATTGGAGAAAATACTGTCAACAGTATAAAGTCTGAGGAAAAGCAAATTGAAAGCCCCTCTTCCTTCTTGAAAATAGAAGAAGAAAAAAAGGAAATTTCCATTCCCTCTAATTTCTTGAGAAAGGATGCCTGTCAGCCAGAGATCACTAAAGTTGTACTTACAGAACATGAAAAAGTTACTCCTAGTTCAGCTACCATGGAGACAGATGCCAATATGATTGAAGCAGAAGTCAGTGTAATACAAGTAGAGGATGAAATTTACTCTCCAGCTGTTCCTCATTTACAAACAAAAAGGCCAAATATTCATGATTTGAAAGTCCAAAGGATCAAAGTTTCTAACAAAGTTGAAAAAATTGATTACTGTGCTCGTTCAGGTGGAGTAAGTCTTGTGGAACGACACCATGAAAGGCAAAACAAGTACAAACAAGATGAATCTTCAGAGGATGTTAGTTTTGGTCAGCAGTTACCATCCCAGTGGGAGAACGACTCGCGTGGTAGTAGCAGTTGTGATATCAACACTGGAGCAGACAATTTATCAGAGAACAGTGGGAATGATAGTAGCAATAACAGTAGCTATGGTGATCAAGAAGCTTGGCTGAATCTGAAGAGCAGAATATTTTCTGGCTCTTCTTCTGTTTTTATAAACTCCTTAGATGAATCAAATGACACCTCGGATATTGACATTGAGTCAAATGAGCCTGATGCCAACAAGCCAAGGATTGACATTGTCAAAGCGCTGCCCAAGAGCTATTTGTTTGGACATCTGAGTTCTTTCCCAGATAAGACTACCAAAGGTACCATAGATGTCAGCATTCAAGTTTATGAAAATGACATTCAACTGTATATGAACTATGCAGCTGATTTCGAAGGAAGGATTATTAAGATCATAATACCTGATAATGAAGACTCCAAGAGTAGTTGCTACCTAAAATCTTCCTATTTATCAGGATTGCCCAAGTTTCTCCAACCACAAGAGTATGTAAAAGCAGTGCGGAGTGCTACAGAAAGAAACAGAAGGCACACCATTGGAGATCTGTTTTATCGTCTAAAGGTTGAACTCTTTAATGATGTAAGAGATTATTACTTCAGTAAGCAGGCCATTCTCACAAAGGCTATTGAAACGTTGGAGCAGTATGAAGTAGAAGGCCAGCTTTTAGAGTCTGAGAAGAACATTGTTGGAATGGAAAACAAGGAGCTAAGAAGTAGATTGAATTCTCTTCTGTTTGGTAAAGACCTTGATGATGATAAACTGCTTGATCTTAACAAGGTAACTGAACATTTAAGGACTCTTGGCATTGAAGTTGAAATTCCACCAGAAGAATCAAGCAAAGATGGCAAGATTTCTCAGGAAACTGAGGATAATAAAACTGATGATACTTCAAGTAATCAACAGAAAAAACACATCACAAGAAAAGGTAGACCACCTTCAGAAGGAAAACTCTTAAAGAGTTTGCAAACTGATTCTCAAGCCAAATTGCCAAAAATACCAAAGCCAAGAGAACTCTCCAACTATGTAAAGGCAGCTTTTAATAACAAGATGAAAGAGTTTGTAGCCATTGCCCCTTCAGACAACATTGAGACCCCTTCAGTAGATCAGAGTACTGATAAAGAAGCACCGAAAACCAGTAGCTCAAGTGTGGATACAAGAGACAGCATCCCACACACAAGAACAAGTGATGCTGAGCAAAAGAATTCTGCAAATGATTCTTCGGTTAACAAAATCGTTTGCAATTTAACCAAGTACAGGGTACACCAAAAACCCCATGGCTCAGGTACTTTGACAATAGTAACAAAACCTGAGCCTCTGAAAGGAATTGAAAGTAAGAATGTTGTCCATATCAAAATTTCAAATGACACAATGAAACAAGTTAATGTTCCAAGTATTTCAGCAGTAAGTACCAATAGCAAAAATTCTGTCCCTCCAAGTACAAACAACATTGAAAATGAACAAACTAACCAAGAGGATGTTGGTGCAGAGGTTTCAGCATCATGCAACACTAAAGAACTCCAAGGAACATCAAAGCCAACAAACAGAGTTTTCACACCCTTGGTCGTGGGCATAAACTCCTCAAGTGTAGCTGCTACGGTCACAAAAGGTACTTTTGTCCAGCGTAATTTGGAAGCTTTAACCCCTGAGGACGGTAAAAACACAAGTGTTCACCTTGCTTCCTCAAAGAACAAGGTAATATTAGAACAGTCAAAGGAGGAAACACATGGAGTAGATGATAACCAATCTCAAGCTAAAGTTAGTGAGACTGAGAACATGAAGAAAAGACCTGAAGGAATTGCTGAAGAAAGTGCTGCATCATCATCAATAGAGGAATCCTTGTGTCCTGAAGGAACCACTAAAGACAAAGTTCAACATCATGGCTTAATAGATACAACAGTCAGCAAAGAAGTCACCACAGCAACAGAACAAGCAGCTACTAGTGAGGGATCAAAGGATGTCAGTGAAAGAGGAACTGGAACTACAACAACTTCTATTTTAGCAAAACCACAATGTTCACCCCAGGTTAATGTCTCACAAACAGTGTCTCAACATCAAACAATGCTTTCTGTGCAGGAGAAGCACACTGCAAATAGGCCATTACAAGAAAAACCTTTGATTACTTTTGCGAAGATGCAGCAAAACCAAATGGTTCCAATTGCAACAACGAAGCAAGTGGTAACAGCCAAAATAAACGCTCATCAGACTCTTAAAACATCACCTATGACAGCAAAATCTACATTATCTTTGTCTGTACTCAAATTGAAACAGCTGAGACCAGCCCCATCGGCAACGCAACGAAATGTTACTTTGATACCCATGACAGCTAATACTATGGCAACACAAGGTACCACTATGTTACAGATGACTCCAACAACATTGACAAAAGGGGTAACGTCAAAAAGTATCTCAATGTTACCAACCGTGACAACAAATGTTACCATGTTAACACATAGCACAGGGATGGTACAGATGATACCATCAATGGCAAACAAGCTAGTAACACCACGAAGTATTGCAGTGTTACCTTTGTCAGGAAATGTTACTATGGCAACGCACAGCACAGCAGTAACAAAGTTAGTAACAACGGCGGCCCCACAGAGTATTACAGTATTACCCATGGGCACTAAAGGCAAGCCTATAATACAAGTACCACAAGCAACTGGATCTAAGGTAGCATTGCAGCAAGGTATCTCAGTGAGGAGTCCCACTATGACACAACCACCAGCATCAGGTTATGTCACACTTGTGCATACACCTTCTTCAAAGACACCTGCATTAAATCAGAAAACATTTATTGTCCCCAGTTCTTCACTTTCTGGTACAGCAGCGCCATTCAAACTTGTCTTCAAGCCAACCAGTCAACCACAAGTCTTTAATACTCCATTTCCACAAATAAAAGGTGCACTACAGTCTTCAAATGTCATAGGGCTGCCCAATGCTAAAACTGCTCCCATACAGCAGAGTAATACTTCTGTATCCACAAGTATGACCACACATCCTACAGGAACATTGAACACCAAGGTTGTGTTTCAAGATAAAGTACCAGTCTCAAACAAGCAAGGCAGTCTTCAAAATACTGGCAATACAACCAATGTTCCTGTTCAGTATAGACAGTTGATAATGAAGGCTCCTCCAGTACATGTAGCAAGTGTGTCTCAACCAACACAAACTAAAACACTTGTAAGGGTTCAGCAAGCTACATCTACACCAATACTGTCATCAATGTCTCCAGGACCTGAACAGCAAACCAAAGCACCAATGCCTTTAACAGAGCTTGTTCATCTTTCTTCTGAAGGTAAAGACTTCGTAATTAAGCCCTCGACTACAATTGGTATCCCTGTTCTATCTACTGCTAGCAGCCTCAGGCAGTTGCTGGTTTCAGGCCCTGTTAATACACAAGTAATGCTGCAAGATCCTCCAAAACCTTCAAGCATGCATTCAAATGTACATACTAGTTTAGCAGCTGGAAGCAGGTCAATGGCTACATTTAATATTGCTGTACCACAAAGTGGCTCACTGCAAAACTCAACTTCAAGACTTGTCTCACATGGTAATAAAGATAAAGACAAGAGATTACCAGAAGCACATGTTTTAGATTTGACACCCAAAACCACTCCAGCCTCAGTAGGATCAAAGGAAACATTTTCAGAAATTGAAAAGATCCTTGCAAAAATACCTTTACCAAAAGTAACCAACAGTATGGCACCAAGTAGTGGAAACACTCCTGGCTTCAGTACTCCTACTAGTGATTTAAGGTTGAATATTGCCAACCTAAGTTGTCCACAGAATTTGGATTATAGTATGAGGTCAATGAATAAAGCAGTAAGTGGAAACATTGATGCAGCCACAGCCATCCACAGCATGGAAAGACAAGTCTTCAATATTGTTGTTGGACCACAGAAAATTGCTGATACATTCTTACCCCAGTCTCAGATGATAACAAGCAGTACAAAGAGTCTGCCTGTTACTACATCTGTGTCTCCTAGAGACAGAATACCTTGTACCAGCAGTCCTACTTTGGAAGTCACGAGATCTACATCAGTAAGTTTTTCAAGTACCTGCATTTCGACGGCAGCATCATTTGACGACCCTAAACCTAAGGGGGACAAGACATGCTCAGTCGTTGATAGCCCTGAAGTAGTAAGTCACATGGTATCAGCAGATACCTTGTCTGTTTGTAATATAGACAGTTCTATTCCAGATATTGCYGGGGAGCTATCAAGTCAGATCGATCCTGCATCACACAGATTTTCAAGCCTGAAGTCTACTATAAAAGAGTGGTCAGGGAATAAGGAAACTTTGCTCCCTAATAAAGGAACAAATAAAGAAAAGAAAAGTGGGCCTAACTTAGGATTTCAAGATGAAAGCACTGCTGAGGACTTTGATCTTCTTTCTACATTTAAATGGAACAACAATAATGCACCTAATGAAAGCAGTGCAGTTATTTCTTCTGGACATGCATACAAAACAGGAGATACTTAAACAATAACCTTTATCAGGTAGCTAAAGGGTGCAAAAGCTAGAGTGTAAATATAAAGTCATGGAAAAGTACTAACTTGCACTGTCTCAAGATTGTTTTTTTTAAAAATGAAAAAGGATTTGCATTATTTAGTTTTAGTACTTTTTCACAGGTTTTCTGTTTGCACTGTAATACCAATCAAAATGGGAAAGTGATGTTGGAAACGATGAACAATCATGCTAGACACACTAGAGGCAGATCCAAGGGGAATTTCGAATTGTTTGTTTGACCCTTTGTTCTGCAATCAAACCCCTCTTAAAGACAGACATTGTTAATTTGAAATTCATTTGTTATGATTTTAGCCAAACCTCATTGTCATTTAAAATTCCTCATGGGTTTGCAGCTGCTATGGTAATTTATTTTCATCATTATTCATTATTATATCGAATACAATCATTAAAACAACAGATTTTATAGCTGCAAAATCACCTTTCACATRGTGGTGCTGAGATTCAAAATGAATCTAATCTTTAATACCAATCATAACACATAATGAAAAAAAATTCCTTGGCTCCTGTACCATAACATTCTCTACGCATGTATATAATTATATAAAAACTGTTCCATCAGAAATAATATTCTAATACAGTACCATATTGTACATATCCCAAATAATGTACATATAGTTGTAATGTGTTTGCCAAAAATGGCTCTTGCTTGGCAGGTGTACCAATTAACCAGCAAATTGAAGGCTCAAAATTTAGTTTAATGTAAAATATTCTCACGCAGAATTTTTCAAATCCGGTGTCTGTATGAAGCAGTGTAGTAGAGGGGAAATTTTTGGGGAAAGTGTGAATGTTAAAATGAGTAGAATTCAAGATAGTTTACTTTATGTTGGGGGATCTTCCTCCTTTCTGTGGCACTTGTTTGGACTAAGAAAGTGAAGACAACAACTGTAAAACTAGCCTCCTATGCAGACGTTGTTAGTGCCTGTCACGCAACACTAAGAACATCTTCGTAGGAGGTTACTGCAAGACTTTCAGCCATCTTCTTTGCTTTAAAATAAACTTGGATTGCATTATTTGTTGCTAACTGATAAAAAAATGAGAACTTTAAAATAGGAAATTATTTTCAAAATTTCTGTTTTCATGAGTGGAAAACATGGTATTTGTCCTTTAATAATATTATAATAATATCATTGAGGACCGTTCATTATAATTGGCTGTGTAACATTTTTCATTCTCGTTGGTCCAGAAGGAAAGTCATTCAAGTGCCTATCTAAATAATTACTAAGATTCAAGCATGTGATTGAATAATACCAGACAAGCTATTATGAATTGATTTCTGTTTGGAATGAATCAACCATGTTTCCCACGCATACAATCACAAAGAATAAATTTATTAGGGGGAAGTCAGAAAATATAATTATTTTTATGTGAGCTGTCAGTGATTATTATTACAGCAAAAATCCCAAGATGATTGACAAATAGACTAAAAATCCAATCAGGGTTTTGAAACAGGGTTGCGATGCAACGATTTTCACTGTAATAATGTAAAAGTGAGTTTTATAAAATAATGTTATAGAATGTGGCTGAGCCTTATCAATTGAATGTCTTATAAATATGTACAGGGTGGTAAATGGTTATTTTGCAAAATGTGATTTGACTGTTTTTCATGAAACATGAAATGGCCATATCTATCATTTCATAAACTCGACTGTGTTTATTTTTATTGAAATGCAAAATGGTCACTTTTCAATGATTTGACCATTTTATATCTCGCCTTTTACAACCCTCTCATATTTAAATCATGGTAGAATTTGTTAATAGTATTTGTTCATAAATGTGTTAATAAAGACATGCCAATGTACTGTAGTTTTTTGGTAGTGACCACATTGAATATTTGGTTTTGCTATAATAATAGTTTAGTCTTTGTCAGATAGCTGGTTGTTATCAAGTCTCTTTAGAATCTATCATCCTAAACAAATGAAAGGGTCGCTAGTGTGATCATTTGCGGAATCGACCAAGAAAGAGAGCTTTCAGCCAGTGTAGCCACCCTCTTATTTTTTTATGTGAAGAAAAAGAGGGCCACTACACAGGCTAGAGAGCTTAAACACTTGTTCGTTTCTCAGCATGGATTGAGACAACAGCTGTGACAGGGAAATTGGACAATACACTGCCATCAATCAAATAAATTGTTCTGTAACTTTACATACTCTAATAGCACAGCACGCTGATTCTAAAAATAGCTTAAAGATTCAGACAAACATTGCATTCTGTTTAACCGCTACGAGGATTGTACGAACCGATTTTATTATTTTTACTTAAAGTTAAAATAAAAACCCATGTAAACTAAGATCAACTGTGATCGGCTGTGAAAATTATCTGCTGAAAGTAAACTTGTAAGTTTGTTTGTCCGAATTTCGCCTTTGTCTTCGTTTTTATGACGTCACGACCGCTGTGCTATTGACAAGTGTTTATTGCCTGATTTCCCTGTCATGACTTTTGTCTTGATCAGGTCTGTGGTCTGATTATGGTCTTTTCAATTCCTTCTTCTTACAACATGGAAGAGAAGGGGAAAGCATTTTTTGCTGCAAGTTAGAGTTTCTTTTTCACTTCTTCAAGCAACAGTTGCAGTACCTAGCTAGGTAAAAAGGGTTAGCCCTGATTATATCTTTGATTCTTTCCCCCTGTGACTGCTAGTCTAGTTCATGAGAGAAAGGGAACTTTATGCTGTCAGCAAGGGTTTGTTTTTAATTTTTATAAGTGAGAAGCTGCAGTAACTAGCTAGCTAGGTCAAAGTCAACTGTATTCTCCTTTTCTTAGTAGCTTGTCCCATATTTCTTGAGGTGGATCACTTGGTTTTGGGCCTGATTTGATTATCTCGGCAATCAAAGTTGCAGAATCCTGATTAGAAAAAAAATGAATAGAAAAATAAATATTTATACAGAAATAAATATACTTATTGGTCTTTATAGCTTTCTAATTATTTTTACCAACCTTTTCATATAAATGCTTCTCTATGTTTTTTTCTATCTCTTGCTTTTTCAAGTTTTCCGTCTTCTTTGTGATATAACTTTCCTCTGCTAGTTTTCCTTGGAGTTTTCTTTAAAATACACCAAGATTATAACTTGCAATGTATCATGCATTCATTTTCGATTTTGAATTTTAGGGTTAAAATAATGACAAAGCCTTTGGAATTAAAAAAATGATGGTTTTCACAGCTGCTATGTTGGATGAATTTGAACAAAATATCCATCATTAGGCTGCGTTCATAATGTATAGCAGAGAAGGGGGGCAGGTAAAATTTAGGGGGGATTGGAAAAAATTTTACCAGTAAAATGGGGAGATTTGAAAATTGTTTCACAGAATTGGGGGGGGATGCAAAATTTTTAGAAGAAGCTACAAGATAGAGTGCACGCACTAAAACCGTGAACATTAAATAGTACTAATTAGTACTATTTCATATAGAATCCTTTGTTTTCTATTGTTTAATTATCACTATTTAGTGCTAAAAATTAGTATTTGTTTCACGGATTTAGTGTGAGCACGTCTCTATTGCCCGGTTTGTCACTTAAAGATTTCACCTGCCCCACCTCTGCCATACATTATGAAAGCAGCCTTAGTCTCTTTTGTTATATCATCAAACATGGCCACTGTGTCTTGTTATTTTATCACCTTGGGAATGATTGAAAACTAGAAAATAAAAGGATTTTATTTGTTATGGTTTTCAAAATTGTAAAGCCATTTCATTCGTATTTACCTGCACTTTTTGCACTTTTGTGGTYGATGAACTGGAACAGCATTCTCCTGAATTTTTTTTTAAAGAAAGAATTATTACGTTTGTCAGCTTTTCAATATTGGTTGTCTCTGATTCTCACCTTTTTCATCTTGAGTAAAATATTATTTACTTTAAGTCTTTCAACATTTCTTGCATTTTCCAATTGATGTGGTTCATCTTTGATGTTCTTTGGATGTTTATCACCTATTTCTTCATCAGAAAATGAAAAACAATTTTATATAACAAGTGATGCACAAAATCCTTTTTAATGGTGAACCTATTACTGTAGATCTGTCTTCTTCAGTGATAAATGAACGACCTCCCTGTTTGGCTGGGTAAGACACTGATGGCCCCTCTCCTTAATTCCTCTGGCTCTTAGTCTTCTAAAAATGAATGGTACTCTCCAAAAATACCTTGCTTGTGTTGGGCTTTTCCATTTATTTGTTTTTTGTTCAAGAGATGAATCTTGTTTTGGTAATACACCATTTGGACCTCTGGTTCCACTATAAACACAATATGATAATGATAATATATGATGAAATAGATTGACAATGAAGATACATGATAATGATGCTAATGATGATAAGGATAATAAATGATTTTTTAAAATCTTTTTTTATTTATTTTTTTCTAGAGTACAAACACTAAAAGTGTGCAACACTTTGCACTATTGTAGTAAATAGTGCTAATTAAACAATAGAAAACAATAGGATTAGCATAATTTAGAGTATTTAGTGGTATTTATGTTACACACTTATAGTGTTTGTACTCTAATAATTTTTTTAATTATAATTTGTATATTATTATAATTACATTGTTTTTTTGTAATAAATATAAATATTATAATTACCATCATCAGATTAATTTAATATACACATATATACGCACACACACAGGAACACACACACACCACAACAGTGACTTTTTTATCCTATTTAAGTTCTTATTTTAAATTGAGCAACATATTCCTATTTCATTCATTGAAAATCGAATCATGATTATGATTATATGATTTGTATTGTTATTAATTGCTATATTTTTTTATTATTTGAATTTTCTCAAGTAGTAAGAATTTGAAATTGTCAAAAAAAGAAATGTTCCTTGTGAAGGCACTTTGTGTGAATGAAATAGTATTTGATTAAAGTTATTGAGTTGTTTTTCTTTTGGGTGATGACCGTATAAAATGTCAGAATAAAATGCCTTTCCGTAAATGTGAAGATTTTCTGGGCCCAATCAAGGAATTCATTCCAGAAGGTGACAGCACAAGGACAGTCATAAAATAGGTGCTCAATGGTTAAATTGTACTGAATCAGAAAAAAGCAATTATTATCTCTAATTATTTTTATTTTAGAAAGAAATGATTTTGTTGGTATAATGTTATGTATAATTTTAAATGGGAAAGCTCTTAATTTAGACACTATAGGTAATTCAAGGTAATTCTCCTTTAGTTATTATATTTAGAAATACATGATAATGACTATGATGATGACACATATAGATTATGATGCATGATGTATAATCATGATAGATGATGATCAGGATACACAATGGTGGTGATGCATGGTGTTAATGATGGTTAAAATGAATCGTGACTGATGTCATGAGTTTTATCCAAAATGATGATTGAAAGACATACGTGTTTACATAGAACAAAGACCAATTCTGTCATATGAGCTAAGTAAGTGGACACAAGCCACGTTTAGCATAGTTCAAGTTTGCAAGCAGCTAGACAAGGTATGATTTTACTTGTATTATTATTTTAGGAATTATTGTATTTTCTTTAAGCTCTATTGCGATTATTGTATGATTGCATGTATGTACGACTGTCAGTAAGATTAGTTAGCAATTTATCTCATTTGATTTATTATAGTTTTACGATTGATTTAACAACAAAGATTAAAAGAGATCAAGGGATCTAAAGTGTCTAGTCCAATCGATCCGTAAAATAGCCTAGCCATAACTGAGACAGTTACATGAATAATGATGACAATGACAGTCAATGATGAGTGAACATAGAGATGACATATAAGCACATGTTAATGATACATGCATTCTAAAGGTGCCACATGGTGCAACGTTGCACAACATTGCAAGCAACAAATTTGAATCGGGGCGAAACCCATTGCAACAAAATCATGCAACATTGCTTGTGTCAGCCTGCTATGTTAAGATATTTAGTCAGCAGTTATAATTTTGGTGCAAGCTGATTGGCTAGAAATTTCCAAAATGTTGCAGTAATGTTGCAGTTATGAGCCACATGATGAAATTTGTTGCGCACAATGTTGCAAGAGTAGAGTGCGATTCAACTTCAGATTTGTTGCATGCAACAAGTTTGGGGTAGACACGCTGCAACAGTCCTGTTGTGTGCAATGTTTCACCATGTGTCAGCACCTTAAAGGTTATGATGATGACAATAGATATACTAACCCAAAATAAGCTGAGATTTTTTCACATTTGTTGAAGCAGATATTTTTTTACTGCGTAGAATCTGAAGCTTTTTATCTAGAAATTCTTCTTTTAATTCTCCACCACTGTCTTCAGTTTTATCACTTTCCTGAAAATAAAAAAAACATTACCACTCTTTTTATTGCTATGTGCTGATCAAGACAACAGTCACATCAGGCAAATTGTGCAATACACTTCTGTCAATCAAAAATATTGGTCGCTAACTTTATAACTCTGATTGGCAGCAGTGTTTTGCCTATTTCCCTGTTGCAACTGTTRTCTCAATAAGCGCATATCAGTGAAAAGAGTGGTAAGTTTACCTGGTAAAGAAATTCAGGAGGGAAATTTTAGGGCTACAAGTTTATTGGTGCTTGACACTATTTAGAAATAAAGTTCAAATTTATTTTATTTATTTATTTATTCAAATTTACACGGATTGGGTTTCCTGTGGTTTTTAATGTTTATCAAGAAACTTTCTTTATTATTCAATATATATATAAAAAAACTGTAAAATATATACCTCCAATAGCTCAAACTCGTCTTGAGAGTACCCTTCATGGTGTTCATCTTCGTATTTCTCAGCTCTAATCTTAGCATCAGCGCCATTTATACTTGATCTGGACGATGATAAACTTGAAGCTTTGCCTCTACTTTCCTCTGATCCTTGGACTGAACTAGAACCAACAGTAGATGTATTTCCCGAAGAATCTGATTCTGCAAACTGTATGCTGGTCTCTGTGAAGCTGCTCCATCGGCATAAAGAACTTTCTCTTCCAGTATTTTCTAAGCTGGATTTGTTTAGGTCTCTGATTTCTGAATCCTGACTTGTTTTCGCTAATTCACTACATATTTCTTCCTCCATTTATTAATTTTTACTTGTTTTACTTGCAGAATCTTTAGTGATGCGAACCTTGAAGACCCATTTTAACAGCTTCAGTAGAAACGGTATTAAACTTTTTACGCTGATGTGTAGTACTTTCCAGTCACACTTTAGGACATTCAGCTAGCTGACTGTGACACCACAGGTAGCCCAAGCTTAGTTGTAGAATGTTTCGGAATATTATTGAAAATGATAAGATATTAAACTAGTCTTCTATAACAATAATACTAGTTCATTTCTATAGTATTAGTTTACAAATGTGAAAATTATTTATCATTTTTTAATATATTTTATTGGTTTTCTACTGTTCACTAAAACCAAAGCGTGGGCTACCTGTGTGTCTTGCTCACACTCACTTGCGGAGACGACAGATTTCGTTGATATTTTTTTCGGTTATTCTTTCCTGCTTTTTTTTCTATTTGGTTTTATTAAGTTTTTAAAAGGAAAACATTTATACATACAGTTTGTGCCCGCGCGCGTTTTTGTCCTTTTTTGGCATCCCTCTACGGCTTCCCCCTTTTTTCCACGCTTTTATATTCCTATATTACGTCAAACTGAAAGACATTGAAAAAGAAACATGATATCCCTTATTACCATTATCCATTATTCAGTTCTCCAAGATCACAAGCTGTATTGACAAACATGGAAAGGCGTAGCAAGTTCTCGGTCGTATTGGGGGGAGGGGGAGGGATGAACCATTTTCCCGCCAACATGTAGTAAAATTAGCAGTTGGTATTTGGTATCTGGATGTTGATATTGATGATGATTTATGATTTATAAGTGCCCTTTCTATATAATAATCAAAGGCGCCTTTACATTGAGTTGTGATCCTCAGTGGTTCTATTACTTCCCTCCAATATTGGTTAATATCTTTGGGGGTATTGAAATTTAGAATTGAATTTAGAACCCCGGTATATATTACTTTGGTAATTTTTAGGGTGCCAAAAAGAAAAGCTTTGTATCATGATATTATTAACTTTGCTGTAAATATAGATAAAACTCTTGAGTGAAGCCGACTTTCGCCATGAGGCTATCTTATCATTTATGTATCATTTATGAAAAGTTCAAACATTGTAGTTCGAAGATAGTTAGTGGGCAAAGATCGCACGCGACCGGCTTATAAACCAAGGGAGCACATTAAAATTTCGTTTGTGCAAAGAAAGTTATTGTTCTTGGTTGATCTATCTAGCGCGCGCAATCCATTATGTGACAGGCGTTCCTCGTAGTGTTTTGGTTTCGGCCGATCCTGAATGGCTTACGATCGTGTAAGGAAGGGAATGACGAATGTAATAGAATACGTGCGATAAAATTGAAGATAAACCAACACAATCAAAATTTTAACGTGCTCCCTTGTATAAACTGAAGAAAATAATAAATTCAACTAGAGACTGATTTGAACAATTGGCCGTGGACTAGTTTTCAATAAAAGTATTGGGGTAGGGAGAGAAGTCTAATTAGTTCCCCCTTTTTTCCTTGTATTTACCCAAAAGGCACCCGAAAAGTGTCTGTCGTGAGGAAATGGCGGAGGGGGAGGGGGAAGGTTTGAGCCCAATCGTCATGAGACTCATTCCAATCATCCTCTAAAAAGTTTTAAGAGGTGAAATACAGCATGGTGATGAATTAGAGTTTCGCGACTTGATCTGCCACTCTTGCAAACTGACACCAAATGTAATGACTAAAACGAATGTATTCCTCAAACGAAGCCTTTTGTGAAGTTTGTGAAGTTTACCAGAATACCGATAAACCCTTCCTACAAAGGGAAATAATGTAGACCAGAGTTACTAGACGTAATTATAAAAATGTGAAAACTGTAGAGCAATTATATGAAATATAAAATTAAATGCAGTCGTTAAAACGCTTATCTACAAAGGCTACAAAGGTAAATCAAACCGCCCTTTGGCGATCTCGTGGATAACTAGTTGCACTTTCCAGAGATTGGGCTCCCTGTGTCCATATGCTTGTTGTTGACATTCGAAGGTTTCAAAGTATTTCGCGCTATTTTATATTTTGAATACTCACGTTATCTGGTAAGATGATTTTTCGTCCTCTTATTTTCCTTTTGACACCTACTTTGTTTAGTTCTTTGTTATTTTGTTGAGTTTGAAGGCAAATTCTGTCTTATAACGAAAGTAGTCTATACTGAATATAAAGAGCTTTGTGCTCGTTTAATAGTGTAAGACGATCGATAAGCGTTTAACATCTTATGCCCCATTCACACCAAAGCTTAAACATGTTTTAAAGTGACTTAACTAAACAGGTTTGGAAAACTATCTACGAACACTGCACAATATAGATGCGGGCCACCAGATGTGGCACGTGCAAACCCCTTCTCCAATATTTGGTGAAATAAGGGCCCGTTCGCACTAGGCTAAATTTATGTTTGTTTTGCAAAAAAATCTGTCAACATCAGCCGTTTCCTAGTGCGAACGCAATTTTTTTATCTTACCAAAATTTGTCTCGCTCTACCAAACTTCAAAGACGCTGTCGGCCTGCTTCGAAGCAGGACAAAATTTTGTTAAACGTCGAAACTGTCAGATTTTTTTGATCCCTAACAGAATCATATGCATTTGGCGCTACTACGGATCGCAAATGGATCCATCTCAACTCGTTAATAGCCAACAAAACATTGATTCCGATAGAAATGGCGCTCAAACTATCGGCGTCCAATATAACTACAACTATTCAAGCAGTGAAACAAGCAAAAAAGGCAAAAAAGGCAAAGGAAAAGAAAACTAGGGGAAAGGCAAAGGCCCAGCTAATGCTCAAGTCGATAGCCTAGGTAGTATCCAATACGGCTGAAATCTTCGTCTCCGTCTTCCATTATTTATTCGAAGCACGAATTTGATTTTGAAGTTGCTGGACTCTCAAAAGACAAAGCAGCATCATAAGTTGTTGCTGCATGTAAATCAGATATTGCAAAAAAGCGAGGAAGAAAAATAGAGGGATGATGATACACGTGTTGTGTTACATTTTGATTGACATATGCTTCTTGCGGATCAGATCTTGGTATCTTGTAGTGCGAACACAACAGGCCAAACAATTTTTTGCCAAAGCCAATATTTGTCATGAATCAAAATGACTCGGACAATTTTTGTCGGTCTAGTGCGAACGGGCCCTAATGCACGTAAACTAATCTTTACCCCTAGGTGCCAGAGGCCGTCTCGCCCCCAAGCCCCACACAATCTCTGGCACCCAGGGTAACTATCCTTTGTCTAGCTCTGACAATATTTTAGAAAGTTTCATTATAGTGTAGGTTTCTAGTTTCTCAATTTTTTCCTAATGAAAACATAGTTTAACTAAACACGTCTAGGTGTGAATGGGGTATTAGTGAGCGAGTGAGACATTTGCATATTCAGACCTCTCAAAATAACTCGTTTCTCTACGCTTCGCGTATCCGCGAATAAAAAAACGTGACCTTTTCTGTCGTACGCGTGAGTATCAAATCAAGCCAATCAAAAGTGCTGTTGTATCTAATATAAATCTTATATCCAATCACATAGCGTGAAAGAATATGATGACTCAGATAAATACCAGGGTCGTAGTAAACATGAATAGAGTAATTTTGGTGTGTCCAGACAACATGAGAAAAGGGGGGCTATTTGTTATATCGTTTATACCAATAGTAGAAATATCTGTACGGTAGACAAAGAGTTAGAACGCGAAAATGATGAGCTCGTCGATAAACAAGGACTACATGGACATCGACGAATTTCTTTCGTCTAGGGACATTTGTGAAGGTCTTTCTTTTCCAGAAAGCGACTATGCCGATGAGGATTTTGGAAGTATCACTGATTTAGCTGAAGGTACAGATAATCTTGAAGCATTACTAGACGAACAATTGCAAGAATATACTGTAAATGAAATCATAGAACCAATACAGCCTGCTTCTCCTCTGAGTAGCAATGAAGGCAATGGTAGAAGCATTTCTCCTGATAGCTTTTCGTCGAGCCAACATTGTAGATCTCCAGGTGAAGACAAAGCCAAAAAGGAAAATGTCAAAACTAGAGGTAAAAGGGTTAAAAAGGCTTATAAGGAGATGAAAGATAGCACTGAAAGCAATAGTAGCAAAGCACGTACTTCGACATGGCATGTATCAAAGTCCCCAGATAAAAAATGTCTAGCTACATCAGTAGAAATCGAAGGTGTTTCATACACTTACAAACTGTTGCCAACTGCAAAAAACAAGAAACAACGTAGACAATCCGTGCCTGGGGATCTAAAAGATGGAAAATACTGGGATAGACGATTGAAAAATAATTTAGCTGCAAAGCGGTCACGTGACTTGAGAAGGCAGAAAGAAATGACTGTTGCTCATAAAGCWGCTAATCTAGAAGCAGCGAACAAGGAACTTCAAAACGAAGTTGCCAAATTGAAGGAACAGGTAAAAATTTTAAATAAGAAACTTGAAGAAAAGTCTAACGAATAGGGAGAATCATCGGGAAGTATAATTATAGTCACGTGTATTATAGGAAACGCTCACGTGTCAGTAGCTGGACATGGTTGTTTCGTATTCACGTGTACCACTGCGAAGCCGCACGTGGGACAATACCAATTCACGTGCCTCCCGAGAACAAATACCACTGTGCTTTGCCGTGGGAACGTGAGTTGTTGGAAGGGAAGGAAAGAGAGAAGTTCAAGATGAAATGTTTTCTTCCAAATATTTTTTCAGTGTTAAATTTCAAACATACTTTTTATATGTTCCTGCTATTTAAGCATTCAATGTCAAAAGAAAAGCTTTTTAGAACCGAATAACTAATTTATATATGAAGGTTGACCACTAGATGAACTTGCCCTAAATCAAACAAATATATATATGTGAAGCTATTAAAAAAGCAATACTTATCAGGGCTTAAAATAACAGCTGATCAATCGCCAATCATGATCACAGGACAAATAGTCTTAGCTTTAAGTCATACCTCATTTGTAGTTAAAAGTTACTGTTGAAAATGAATGGCAAGGCAAAGATTTGAACGGACAAGTCCCAGTTCTGTTCATAAAGCCCTGTTTATTGAACCCTGAAAAATCCTCAAAGTGAACTAAGACAAGGTCGGCTAATTTACAACTCGAAATGGAACATAGCTGGCATGTTGAGGTTTTGCCCATGCCCTGAATCAAGGAATAGTAAAAAAAGTCTCTAGAGCTAAGAGGTAAATACAATACTGCTCAATATTATATACCCTCAATTCCCAGTGAAAGCACCATATGTTAAATCATCAGAGCAACCAACTGTCCTACAGAATGATAAAAAGGTAAATTGTACACCATGAAAATAATTATTTACCTTTTTATCATTACTGTTTCATTAGAAACACCGACACAGCTCACACAAGTTTTTAGCTAGTTATCTCTTCATGTCCTACAGAATACCCTGCAATAATATGCAGTTGTTGGAACTCTTTGAAGAATGAGCCATACAACAATACAAGTCATTGCGTCAAGATTTCACATCCACTACCTTTATTATTTTATTTTATTGTGTAGTTCCAGAAATTACCAATACCCTGCATTTAATTTCTAGGGGTAGGGGGATCTTTGAAAAACCTCCATGAGGTGGGTATGGATAATTTCTTGGAACTACACGTTGCACAGTTATTAAGCTAGTTCATGTAGCCCTGAAGATGGCCAATATAGCTGAAAGCTTGGCAAGAAAAGAAAATCATTAACATATATAGTGGATACAAAACCTGGACTCATGATATGCATCCTACTTACAAGAATACACTTGAATTGAAGTCATTGTTCTTTAGTATATTGTACATTTGATTTACAATGTATTCTGTCTAGTCAACAAAATCATCGACCATTAAACAGATCATATATTAACATCAATCTAGTTTCAATAATACTGTCTTAATACTGTATAGTAATGTTTTTTAAATATCTTATAATTAGATATCTTGAGTTCTCTTTTGCTTAGCTTATCCGCCATTTATATTCAGCCATTCAACCAAAACCTGTGTAAATATAATCAACTTATATCGTTAGGTAGTACATATGTGCCATACTATACAGTGGGCCTTAATAAAAGAAAAGAACACATTTGAGACTAAGGAAAGTAATTTCTTGAAAAATATTATATACCATTTACTTTTAAAATAGCATCATTTAATTACTGAAACTACAAGAATGGTTTGAACACTTTCTTTTATTACAATATTCAATAAGCAACAAATATAAGGAAATACAAATAATTTGAACAAGAAAGAAAATTATGAAGCATTTGGGTAGTGGCCAGTCGTAAAATGATGCCATCCTGTAAATGGCCCAGGTGTAAGAATTTAGTATTAAGATGCATCATATCTTTGTAAAATAATCAATATAATAATATTATCAAAAAAATAAGTGGATAATAATAGTGATATATAGTGAGAAGGCCACTGTAAATGAATTGTTGCTTTTAATATTAGCATTATAACATAAACACAAAATATTAAAAAAAGTTCCATAATAATTGTCAAATACTATTAAACCCATGGCCACCACTTTAACAGTGGTCCAGTTTTTATACAAAGTGGTCATGTCTTTTTATTTACTTCTGTAATCAATATTTTTTAAGAGGGGGAAAAATGATTCTGGAGGTAAAAAGTGGTGCGATAAAAAAAAAACCTTCCCTGCACTGTTGAGGATTATTGCTAGGTTGTGATGCCATGTTGGCCGGGAAAAATATTTTTTCCTGGCTAGCATTGCATTCAACCAATAATTTGCATCTGCAGAAACAAAAACTTTGATTCTCTTGGCAATAAATGGCTGCTGCATGACAAACATCTATTAAGTTAGAGGTTTACGGTCATGACGCCCCCTTGTCATGACGCCCCCAGCCATAACGCCCCCACGTATACCATGCATGACGCCCCCAGTCTGTACTACCACGACGCCCCCAGCATAAACCATGACGCCCCTTGTCTCTATTAACTCTTATTTAATAAGAAGTTTAACGATAATAATATGGCGCTATGAACCCATGTAAATCGAACACTATTGGAGTTGTTTCATGGTCATTACGATTTTAAATAACTCGTTTCTACGCTTCGAGTATCCACGAGTTAAAAACGATACCTACAAGCTGGCGAACACTAAATCTCTTGAGTTAAGCGATGTACTTCTTGAATGTTATCATTAATAGTTAGTTCCAGAACATGATATAGCTGAATTAGGAGTTAAAGAACATCATTCAGATGCATTRGGAATCCAAYYATAATTCTAAGACATGTTCATCGATCAAAACTTTTATTTCGTGCGATCAAGTCACGCTGTTGTTACGAAGCACTCTCAACACGCCCCGTGATCAACATTTCGGAATGCCTTTATCGGCACGAGAAACCTATAAAAAATTCTTTATATTTAAAGAACATCATTTCGGTGCATTTGGAGTTCTAGAACATCATTTCACAAGGAACATTAAAACTTTTTTGTAAGGATCGTTTTTGAGACTTGCACCTTTGTGTTTGTCTATTTGGTTTACGGTCATGACGCCCCTTGTCATGACGCCCCCAGCATAAACCATGACGCCCCTAGTCTCTATTGACTCTTATTTAATAAGAAGTTTAACAATATTTCATAGTATAAATCCAAGAACGACAAAAAATAACGAAAAGGAAAAAAGTTGACGACAAAATTTCGTAAGGCCGATAAATGATTTGTAATTCCAGTTAGTACGCCGTAGTTGCTGTACTGAACGCTTACGCATAAGTTCTGAAACCTATGTCCAAAAAGTTTGACACTGATAATATACAACAAAAGAAAGAGAGTGCTGTTGAATAAAGTAAGAAAAACATTGAAAAGAATTAAAACCTTTGACACGACCATTAACTATGCACGAACGAACAAGTTGTTTTCGAACGAACGAGTTGTTTTCGAATGATTGAGTTGTTTTCAGCAGTTGTAGTACGCAGACTTGTAATCTAATAGTCTTTGGCGTAGGAAGTTTTTGACTTTTTCGTATTTTTGAAACGTGTGTTTTTGCTAAATATTTTGGTAAATCAGCAAAGATTTCTTACGAAATTCGGGTAGTTTTACGTTCTCACTTTACAAGTCTTTTCACTGCTGGGTATGTCGTCACGGCAAGTAGTTCGCGTCTAAAGTTTTTGACTCATCCGTAACGTTTCTTCTACTTTAATAGCCTCCTTATTCATATAAACTTTCTTGGAGGAGAAACATGTGTGTTTTCAATAACTATTTCAGAAAGCAAGCAAAGATTGCTAACATAAATCGGGTAGTTTGCCATATTCAAGTCGTTACACTGTTGTCGTCACACACGTGGGTAGCATGGGTGGCGTTCGCGGCTAACGCGTCGTCTTTCACCGCTGTGAGTCCAACGGGTCGGGTCGCTGGTTCGAGCCCTGCGGTCGCCACATGTGAATTGAGTTTGTTTGATGTGTTGTTTTCTCCTATGCTACGAGGGTTTTCTCCGGGTTCTCCGGTTTCCTCCCTCCATAAAAATCAACATGTGAGTTGAGCGTTGTGTGCATAGAATATTAAATGTTGTGGTAGTGCGTGTGAGTGAAAAGTGTCCCCAAT